GGACGTCAAGTGGCAGGACGTTGACCGCATAGAGCGAGGCGGGGTTGACGCTCGCCTGGACGCCACTGTATCGTGCAGTAGGGGAGGCGGGAGGACAAGAAGGGCGGAACGACTTAGAAGAATCGGAGGAGGAGAAGGATGAGGAGGAATGGCGAAAATGAGAGAGGAAGAATGAGGAGAAAGGGTGAAGAGTGAGGAACGATGAAGGAGCATCTTCTTGCTGGTTGCCGGGGCAGCCAGCGTAGACACACGAAGATGTAAAACGGCTCGCGGGACCCCGCTCGGCGCTGAGAGGAACTCGCGGGACGGCTTTGCACGACTTTGGAATCAGCGGAAACAGAGATGGACCGTAAGCACAGATTTGGCGCCAGCGCGCATTAGCCTCCTCACCCTCCTTCCCTTCTACTAAGGTTAACCCTCCCCCTTCCCAGCCAACGCTTCAATAGCACTTGGACTGGACCCATCCACGGTACAAGTTAGATACACGTCACAACGCAATGTGAAGCCGTGATTTGCACATTAACATGTGCAGTGACGTGTATTCCAGACTCCACGGCCAGAGTGTGATGCAGGCTTCAGAGCGATTCTCCTTTACCTGCTCTCCTTGGCTTCGAGCTCTTCCTCCGCAAGTTTCACCTCGCCAGGTGTAGGTTCCGATTCACCACAGCCATGCTCTTCCCTTGGCGTCACCCCCAGCATACAAATGCTATGTGTGCGTGGCCCCCCAGGGACGTCGCGCGCGCCGAGAGATCTTGTAGTATATGGCTCCTGGCAGGCGTTTTCTGGCCATACTGCCCGGATACGATACACTACAAGATTAGTGCACGCATGTTCGGGTCGGACGCACGCCTCCGAGGAGGACACATGGTACTAGTATGTCCTTCTGCTCGGCGGCGAGCCCAGGGGGAAGTGAGGAGGGGCGTGCCTTCTCGGAAGGCTCGTAAGTCAAGTTTTCTGAGCATTCCCCGCAGACGCAGAAGACCTCTCAGAAGGCCGGGGCGCTTCTGCGAAGCTTCGTCGCCTTCTGAGAAAGGCCTCCTCCTTCTTCTCTGCCCCCCTTGGCTCGTCGCCGATCTGCGTCCGATTTCCACCTCACCACAGTCGGGATCGCTCCCTCCCAGGTCTGGGTCGCTCCGGGGCCACGGCCGTCACCCCCGCACCATCCTTGCTGCACGCTTGGATTTGGCGTCCCCGCAGCCCCCAGAGGCCGCGCAGCGAAGGTCACTCTTGCCTACGGGACTCGTCAAGCATACACTGACGGTTTTTGTCTGCGGCGCTTGGGCGGTCGGCGCTGCTTCAGTGCTGGCAGGGAGGCGTTCGGCCCACATGCAGGGGAGTCCGAAATCTGGCAGTGCCCCCACAGCATTGACGAGCGCAATCTCTGACCTTGTGCCCGAACGAGCGGACGCTGCGATTCGGAGCGGTGTTTCCAATCATGCTTGACGTCACCGCCCACCCACCAAACCACCCCAACCCAACCCGAAGGCCCCGATTCGCCCTCCATTTCCAGTGGGGGAGGGGGTCGGGGAACATGGACAAGCACGCATCTGAAGCCCGTACCCCTCCCCCAATCCGCGAAAGTCGGGTCTTCGGGTCGGGTTGGGGGTGCTCCGGTGGGCAGCCGTGGCGAGGCCTGCAGGGTCCCCACCCTGCGTGCCGCCGAACGAGGCGCCACCCGAGGCCGAGGGCGGGCTCCGCCCGCGCGCCCTCCCCCCTCCCCTCGGGTGTGGGCATTTGTGTGTGTGTGTGGGTGTGTGTGTGTGTGTGTTCGTTTCTGGGCGTACGCGTGCCGCGGGCGTCCGCGTGGGCGCGGGATTCGGTGGCTGTGGGTGTGGGCGTGAGTGTGGGTGCGGGTTCGAGTGTGGGTGTACGCCCCGCGCGTCGCGAGGCCGCAGGGGCGAGCTGGCCAAGCGCCTGGCCGCCGACCAGGAGCGCGCCGCGGCGCGCGAGGCCTCCCTGCAGGCCCGGGGGGGGGGGGGCTCGGCTCGGCGGGGAGGCGCTAGACTGGAGGAGGCTCGGTGCCTCCTCCCTTTTCTCGCCCTCCTCCTCCTCCTCCTCTTCCTCCTCCTCCTCATTTTTTTCCTCGTCCTCCTCCTCCTTTACCTCCTCGCCGTCCTCGCCCTCCTCATCCTCCTTCTCCTCGCCGTCCTCCTCCTCTTCCTCCTCCTCCTCCTCCTCCTCATCCTACTCCTCTTCGCTGTCGTCCTCGTCCTCTTCTTCCTCTTCTTCCTCGCCGTCCTCCTCCTCATCCTCCCCCTCCTCCTCCTCTCCTCCTCCTCCTCCTCCTGGGGGGAAGGGTTCGCAAGGAGCAGGCGACCAGCGGATGAACGTCCTCCTTTTCAGCACCGTGTTACGGATCCCTACTGTGAGGAGGAACAAGTACCCAAGTCGCTACCCTTTCCTCGTTTTTGCATTGTTGGCCCTCTTTGGAGGCCCTCGTCGCCACCGCTGGATTCGCCTGGAAATTCTGGTCAGCACGCACCCCGGGCGAGGTCCAGGGAGTAGCGGTATCGGTACCTTTTGTTTTCCCCACCTACAGTCAAGACGCCGAGTTACGGCACAGTGTGGGTTCGGAAGGGGCTTGATGTTTCTCGGGTCATCCCATGGCTGTTTCCCTTTGCGCTCCGCGTCTGGGCAGAAGCTTTTGGGGCGAAGAAGGGGTTTTCGTTCCTTCTGTAACGTTACCTTCTGGTCGTAGATCGACTGCATCCCCAGACCCATCCCGATCCCCACCATCCCACTACGCCAATTTGGGATATGCCCTCGAAACCCGAAGGGAAAGGCCTATATTTCCATCTATGGGGCAAATCGGCCAGTGGGGCCCAGGCCACGCACGTGGGGCTAGGAATTGGATGAACGATGCTCATCCCTGGTTGCCAGATGGGGGTCTGACGTGGCGTCCAGCACTGGTTCTGGCGAGCAGGAAGGGGGGCGGGCGGGGATAGGTTCGAGGTTCAGGTTCTGGCTTCGAGGAGGGTTTTTTTGTTGTTTATTGCTGCCTCGGGGCATCGTTTTCGGGCCCCGAGACCGTCAAAAACGGACCCCGGGTGCAACATCGCAGCAGATGGAACTTCGGAGGGGTCCGAGGATCGGGAACCGATTTTGCGCTGCTTTGCCTTTAATTACCCTCTCGTCCTGACCTCTTCTCCCTTATCCTCCCGTCTTGCATGTTGTCCAGTCACGCTAGATTTCTAAATCCCTTGTGTTTTTGGATTCTGACCCCGCCGATCTGCGTGAGGGGTGCCACCGAATTTCAGAAATGTGGCCAATCTTATGTGTGTTTCTGGATTCAGACCCCGCCGATCTGTGTGTGGGGTGCCACCGGATTTTAGAAATGTGGCAAATCCAAGTTGTTTTTGGACCCTGACCCCGCCGATCTGCGTGAAGGGTGCCACCGCATTTCAGAAATGTGGCAAATCCCTTGTGTTTTTGGACCCTGACCCCGCCGGTCTGCGTGAGGGGTGCCACCGAATTTCCGAAATGTGGCAAATCCGTTGTGTTTTTGGACCCTGACCCCGCCGATCTTTTTGAGGTGTGCCACCGAATTGCAGAAATATGGCAAATCCAATATGTTTTTGGACCCTGACCCGTCCGATCTGCGTGAGGGGTGCCACAATTTTTTTTTTTTGTGAAATGTTGCAAATCCAATTGTTTTATGGACCCTGAGCCCGCCGATCTGCGTGAGGGGTGCCACCGAATTTCTGAGATGTGGCAAATCCCATGTGTTTTTGGGCCCTGACCCCGCCGATCTGCGTGAGGGGTGCCACCGAATTTCCGAAACTTGGCAAATCCCGTATGTTTTTGGACCCGGACCCCGCCGATTTGCGTGAGGGGTGTCAATTTTTACCCACCCCAGCAATTTAGATAATACGATTTGGGCGTGGTATAAAAATGCTCGTTTTGGGCCTCCCCCCCTCGCGCGGTCCATCAAAAAGGAACAGTAAGCAGCAAGACGTCAACAAGGAACAGTAAGCAGCAATAAGCAGAACTGTAACAGTGGAATTTGGAAACTGCAACTGGTACAAGAAACTGCGAACCTCCGACATACAGCCTGGCGGCCCCGCAAGGGGGCCGCGGACGTTGTCCATTTGAGACAGAGTGTCGCCTTCCCATCAGCGGCCGCTGTCGGTTTTGGCCAACATTGTTTCTTGGGCATCGTACAATTTTTTCCTTGCCGATTTCGGGTGTTGAGAATTTAGCACAATCCTCAGCCCCCTCCTCCTTCTCCCTCCTCCCTCCCTCCTCTCTCCTCCCTCCCCCCTCCTCCCTCGCGCTAACATGAAGGCTGTGAGCTAGCCTGGCCCAGCGAATACCGATCCCCTCCGTAGGTCAGTACAGCTGTCGCAAGCATCTGCCCCTCATTGTTGCATTTGTTTTTACCACAAAGGCTGAAGATACGCCGTTCTATTCGTTCCGATCCGGTCTCATCCTCCTTCCTCCCCCCTACCCCCTCCTTCAGGATGGAACGTCTTGCGCGTTCTTGGAGGCCATCGTTGGCCATCGCAGGCCATCTTGGAGCCGTCCTGGGCCATTGTCGTCGCTCTGAATTGCTCCCGACCCCCGTCGCCCAGAAAAGTGTGGACTTGTCAGGAGATCGGTATACGCCTTCTAAATCAGACGAGCAGTTGAAGAGCCAGTTGTACCGGTAATCGGAACACCAACAGCCAACAACGATGTAACCAGAAATCCGAGCAGTGGCGGAATTAGGAGGCGATGCTGAAGTTAAGCGGAGAGTTCCTCTCTGGGACATCGATCTCGGTATCGTTTCGTGCCGTGCGCGCGGGCGAGGCGAAGTTGCGCAAGTGCGAGCGGGGGCTTGCCACTTGCAAGGTCAGGTCAGTCCGAGTGTTCCCCTGGGTGTCCTGTGGTAGCCCCGTCCGATTGTCCTGCACGGTAGGTTCCTGTGCTGCCGACGCGGCGGCGACCTCGCCGCGGGCGTTCGAGGTTGAACGCCGCCAGTGGCCTAGAATCGAGCAAGATGGAGCGATCCGGCGATAGAACAACCGCCGATCGTTCAAGGTTACACGATCCACGCGGTGTCAGAAGCCAGCGCCGAAGTCGTCAAGACACCATTTTGCCGTGACGTTGCCCCGTGGTTTGCAGAGTAGAGTCAGATAGACCCAGACGGCCTGGGCTTGTTCCACAGGTGTCCCGTGCGGCTGTTCCGCAGCTGTCTTGTGGCTGTCCTATCCCCGTGCGGCTGTCCCGTGGCTGTGCCCTTGTGAGGGGGCATTGCGATATTACCTATGCGATCCCTTCTCCTTCTCCTCCTCCGCCTCCTCCGCCTCCTCCTCCTGGGCTCAGGATCGGTGCACATGCCGACCTGGCCAAGCCAGGAGAGCGTATGCACCAACCCCGGGCCCAGGATTGGCCAGGCCAGGATCGTGCATGTGGTGTGTATTTCTCGCTTCTTCCGTGCTCGAAGACTAATACGCTTCGAAGAGTCAGAAGCTTTCGAGGTTCAAAAGGGCTTGACGAATTCGAACAGCTGTTGAAGATTGGGTGAACAGAGACCGTCGTGAGACGGAGTGCTGATAATTGATAAGTGGCGTCAGTTTTGGCTGACGTGTGCGGGCGTGAGGCGATCTCCTCGACCAGCTAGGGCAAATGTTCCGAGTGCCAAGGACGGTACCAGCAGCATCAGGCTGCTGAGGCTGTACGGCAAGCGCGCGGAGTATATCTCTCTCTATATATTTATATATATATATATATATATATGTATCGGGCTAACCCCCCATGGGGGGATCGGGCCTCCAGGAGCGCCCTTGTCCGGCCCCAAGAGCCCCACGAGTGCCCCAAGAGCGCTCCACGACGGGCCCAGCAGGCTCCAAGAGGCCCAAGAGGGCATCAAGAGGACCCCAAGATGCCCAAGATAAGCCCAAGACGGCCAAAGAGGCCCCCAAGACGCTCCAAGAGGCCTCCAAGAGGCCCCCCCAGAGGGCCCCAAGAGCCCAACATCGTTCATTTTACGAATGTTTTGGACACATTTTGCCTTTCCCGCCTTTTCAGCTTTCCGACGCTCCACGACGGCTCCAAGGCCCCCCGCGGACGCCCCAAAACAGCCCGAGAGGCCTCCAGGAGGGCGTAAAGACGGCTCTGGAGGGCCCCAAGACGGCCCAAGACACGCCCAAGACGGGCGAAGAGAGGCCCAAGACGGCCCCAAGAGGGCCCCAAGAGGGGAACCGCGAACCGGAAATTCGAGCCTCCCGCCTCCACAGGGCCCCGGGAGGCCCCAAAGGGGCTCCGGGAGGCCCCAAAGGGGCCCCAAGAGGCCCCAGGAGACCCCCAAGAGGCATCCAGGAGGCCCAAACGAGGCTTCAAACAGCTCCGAGGAACCTCACAACGGACGGTTCGGACGAGCCGCACTTCGGACCGCCGCCGCCGCCGGTCCAAGAAAACGGCCTCCTGGACGCCATGCGCGCCGTGGCCCTCCTGCGGTGGCACCTCCCGCCCCGGGCCAGCGCAGAGGCCCTCGGATCCCAGAGAGAATTCTCCGTCGTCGGCGGTGTCGCCGTCGTCGGCGTCGTCGTCGTCGTCGTCGACGCCGTCCCCGCCCCGGTCGCCCCTCGGGTCTTGGGCCGTCTTGGGCGGTTTGGGGGGCTGTCTGCGGACCATCTTCGGCTGCCTGGGGGCCTCATGGAGGCCTCTTGGAGGCCTCTTGGGGGCCTGTGGGGGGCCCCTTGGAGCATTCTGGATGCTTTGGGGGGCCTTGTTGGGGTCTCCTAGGGCTCTCTTTGGGGAGGAAGGCTGGAAATGTCAGGTCGGGTACCCCTGTGAGCTCTTTCTGGGAGCGGTCCAGGGGCCTTCTTGGGCTGTCTTCGGGGCCTCTAGGTCACTCCTGAACCCCACTTGAGCCGTGTTGGGGCCCTCTTGGAACTCTCTTTGGCCGTCTGGTGCGATCTTGGGGCCCTCTGGGACCCTCTTTGGCCGTCTTGGCGCGAGCTTGGAGGCCTCTGGGCGAA